GACACACAACATACATGACAGGGGTCATTCTCACAAAAACTGGAAAAGACTGATACACCAGTAATTACTGTCACATAGTTACCTAGCAACACAATGACCCTGAGGCCACCACCACCCCGATTCACCACCCCGATTTTCTGATCCAGGTAAAAACCCAGGACTCTTGAGTAAGAGTTCCTCAGAAACCAGGTTGCTTTTCAGGCATGAGCTTAGTCCATGTGCATAACCTCAGAACGAGAGTGCCCTCTGCTGGCCCGACTCACTCATTACGGCTTTCATTCACACAGCCACTTTGTCCTGTCACAGAGGGGCCTGTTGGATGTACAACACAGCGAGAATAAAGCCCCACATTCCTTAAGCATAATGTCTTGGCATCAACCTCTGCAGTTCAAACAGAATCTACTGTAAAATTTCATGTTGCTTGTGCCTTGGAAGACTATCAATGCAGTATTGGCTGTAGGCTGTTGAGATGACCAGCAGAGGGTGCCAAAACCAATGACTCTCCAGTTAATGCCACACTGGCAGGTGAGAAAGGTTGCCTGCAGAAAGGTGACCCCAGGCCTGCATAATTCAGTGTCAGCTGGCAGAGTCCGGCTCAGGTGTCCCTGCGGCGTTTCGCATTTCTGGATCTATAGGAGCTAACTTATGGTTCCTGTAAGGAGCAGTGGACTATTAATCTACAAGTTTTGTCAAAAAACTTGACAGCTGGTGGCTGGGAGCTAAATGTTGGAACACACACACACACACACACACACACACACACCTCGGTGATTAATAACACATATAATCATGTGTGTTTCACTACCAGCCAAAAAAAAGCTTCATAGTCTCTATATTTAGTATAGTACTATAATTATTCCAAAAAAATAGACAAACCGTGCCCATATCAGATGTATAGATCAAAGGGAGCAGCAAATATGAGTTTCACTCCACAATATCCAGCCACAGACTTTACCCCGAGTATATGACACTGCTCTCAAGACAAAAAGTGAATGCTTTGCAAAAAAAAAAAAAAAAAAAATGAAACTAAAACCTATTTGGCAAAATGACTCTAAAAACAGAATCCTGACAACCACTGAAAGTGCACTTTACTGAAAAGGTCCTCATTTTAAGGTATTCACTTTCAATAAAAGAAAAATGTTACAAATTATGAGATTTTTGCCCTCTCAGCAGTCCGACATTCAGTGCAACATCATGACAGACACTCTCGCATTGTTTATAACCAATGAAAGTACACGTGTAGGTCTCCAATATAAATTTTTGCTCATAATATTCTCCAATCGGGCTATCAAAATGATCAGATTAAAGAAATAATGCACTGGCTACCCTGATATATCGTCGTCGTTTGATAACTGCCACTTTTACTACAGATGGAATAAAGCCACTCTCCTGTCTACTGATAGTGTTTCATATCAAATTGACCAAAGAAAAGATGTTTTATGAATTCATCTATTTAACTAATATTAGTATGAGCTAGTTAACATTTGTATTCAGGATGGCCGTATTTATGGATTACTTCAAAATGGTAATTTTAACAAAGCTGATAGCTAGATGCCAACATCATTAACTGTGATTATAAAGTGAGATTAGTTTGTGATTAATCTTGTTGACACTGATGTACTTGCTTTGCTGACAACAATCCAGATAAGTCCATTTAAAACATTAAACCGATGGCTGTGAGAAGGTTTCTGCTTCTGGTACTAAGGGTGTCATTATGTTGTTTTAGGTTTAATTTCAAACAGCTTTTGAGTAATGTTTTTTCACACTTCAGAAATCATGGATTTCTGGAGATGCAGGTTTTTCATTGGACAGTGAGCATATACAGATACCTGTCAACTTGCGTCCTATCGAGTAACGCCGATCGCATTTACGCCTGAGGTCCATAGTAAATAATACACACTGATCCTGGAAGTGGACATAGCTAGACGTTAGCAGGTGTATCGGTCAGTGTAACAGGTACAGGAGAATGGGCAGCGCTGGCCGCTGCATAATGACAGTATGCATACAGAAATGCATGTGATGGACAGATACAATAAGCAGATACAGATGCACTACCTGTACTGTGCTATTTCATTAACATTGTGCAATAAAATATTTTGCTGCAGTTTCAAGCATCACCTTTTTTCTCAGCTCCTACTGTTTGCCACATGCATCTTTTGATGTGCAATTGGTACATTATTTTTTGTGAAATTGAAGTGCAATCTCTATTATAAAGTGTTGTGATGTTATATTTACATTATTTGCAGTAGGGTACTGTCTGTGTATATTACAGTACTGTCCTTAACGTCTTGCCTCTCCCCTGTAATGATCGAGATACACCCAAATTGACTTGTGTCCGTCGATCCCGACCCCAAACGTGGATGCAAATTGACAGATACCTGTATAAGATTTCAAAACATTTGATCTGAAATAATGCACCGTGGATACACCACTGAGCGGGTGGTGACTGGGACGGGCGTACCGTGGGTGATGTTGAGTTCGTTGCCCATGGCCAGGCTCCACACTTTGCCCCGGACGCTGGGGGGCACGCCCTGCCACCACAGCTCCCGCACACGCCGAGATGTACACCTGTGTTGGCCGGGGCAGGGGGGCAGAGCAGAGGGCCAGGGTTCAGACCGTGTGATATACAGGGGGCAGACAGCAGTGCAATCCTTTGCATAGCTACAGTCATTCCACTGCACTGTCTGGGATGGTCATTTCTGACTGGACAAGAGCCTCAAACACATTTAAAATACTGATACAGAGTCACTCCTGAGTAGCACTTCTGAGTGGTGCCCAGAACACTT